AAAAAACAGGCGGGCTCCTTTCACGCGCTGCTTTATGGGGAGCTCCTATTCACTTGTTCAAGCAAATTTCAAAGCAGGCTGCTGCCCTCTCATCCCCGCTAAGCTCCCCTGGACTAACAATGGGCTGAAAGCGATTCAGTTAAGCCTTTCATCCACCATGCACTTTATTTCTCACTCAGTGCTCTCATCTGTATAAGGCCTACAATTGGCATTGCTGTGAAGAGAGGGTATAATCCTAGCCCTGTGAATCCCAAGTGACCCTACACTGGTCCAGAAATGACTAACCCAATGAATGCTCTGTTGACACATGATCACATACAACCAGAGCCAGTAAGAAGAAATAAAGAAGTCACCCTATGATTCAGCTCTTTTATTTAATGCCAATATTGTTCAATAAGGGAATCTGGTGGGACAACAAACTATTTTTTTCCGTAATATCAGTTCAAAATACACATGTGCATTTAAAAAAAGACTTTGTTTACGCATCAAGGATTTTTGGTAAGTCCTGTTTTCTGCTGTGCATCATCACGCAGCACTGTTGACTTTAAAAACCCAGCATGCAAACCTCTCCGAGGAGCACACAGTAATCACTGGACACATCTGAGAGAGACACTGGACAAGTTTGACCTATGAGATGAAGACGAAGAATGCAGCACTGTTTACAGGTGGGCTTTTCTAGAGCACTTGTACTTAAGGGAAGATCATGAAGCACAAACGGCAACATCCGCCTTCTGCCCAGTTGAACAAAACGGTCCCGAGGAGCACTAAGTGAGTGTTATTTCTCCTCTACCCCCAGCCACAAAAGCACCATTTCTCTCCTGCTGGGGAAAGCAAACTGAGGAAGAACGGTCAAACGACTTGCTCTGAGTTGCACACCTCTCAGCAGAGTCAGGAGGAAAAGACAGATCCTGCAATTCCTGGCCTCAGCCACAGCATCATCTCTCATCCCTACGCTCCTGAAACACCCAGACCTGATCCACACAGCTCCATTCAAATGGCTCTTTGAAGACTGCCCCAGCCACACTAGATGAGCAGCTATTTGCCCCTTCAGGTCACTGGCCCTATTAATGTACATTCTGACATTAATGACGAACCTTAATTACAGAAAGTACTTCCTACAGGAAGTAATCTCCTCCTCTTTGATGACTGATAACTAGTTAAGGAAGCCTGGCCTTAAGAAAAAGGCTCAGGGAGATACGCTCCTTGGGTTAGTCAGGCAGCATGGTGCATTAGCATCGGGGAAAACACGTTTGCTCAGCTGCAGTTGCAAAATGGCAATAGGGGGATTCATTATTTTACTCCATCCGATACCTCCGGTGACGGCATGAAGAGCGAGGCTACCATGCCCTGCCACACCTCTCGGTTTGGGCGCACACCTCAGTTTCAGCAGCCCCTAAGTCAACGGCGAGCAGAAGCAGGGTGATGACCCCGGACCCATCACTCCTGTAAGCCCCCACGGTGCATCGGCGCAGGTGATTCACAGATGACGCATCCCAAAATGACCCGGCCAACACAAGGTACTTACACACTGCTGTCCGTCATTGACATGGAGTCGTCCGTCAGGGCATCGCTAGATATTTCACTATCGTTCGCGCTGGTTGCTGGGGCAAAAACATAGCCAGAATTCACATGGTATGGGTTAACGGGATCGTTCCTCTTGAAGGACCTAGGGACAAGCAGAACAGGAATCTAGTTACCAGTCTTGGGCTAGAGAAAAACACACAAGTTTCATGGTAGCACTCTCCTTATGGGAACCAGGCATGCTGGCTGCTCAACCTCTTCAGAAGCAACCAACCATCCATTGCTCAGACCAGCAGCAACCAGGACACACTGTCTCAACACACCCCAAGTCCGGCTGGCGCTGGCAGCCTTTTAGCACTGGAAGCGCGCGCACTGGAAGCGCGCTTTAGAAAATCCCAGGAAGCACCTCTACGTACTTTGATACCTTCAAAACCTTGGTCCTTAAAACCTGATGCTGCACTGCTGAGGTCGCCAGGAGTTTTGCTGCTGGTGGGCAAAAGACCAAGAAGTTCATAGCTCAAGTCCCAGTGAAAGCCATTGAGACACCAGCTAATAAATGCTTAAGTCGACTCTGAAGGCAGGAGTTAGGGCCCCTTTGGGAATACAAGTCACGGTATCTGTGTTGCCTGAAATAAGAGAACTGCCCAAAACTACTGGGGCAGGACCACCACGTGTCAGAGGAGGCACGGACAGGGCTGAAATCTGCTGTCTCAGGCCTGGCCTCCCAAAGATGGGTGCCATCTTCCTGGCATTATACACATGTAATAAAAAGGCCCAGTTTTTAGGGGAACCTACTACTTGTTCAACCTGTGGTTTTGTGCATAGAGTTGGGTGGGGAAGAGGAGGAAGAGGGATGCGAGGACAGGAGCAGCAGGCTGTATCAACAGGCACGTGGGTTACCGCTACCAACACCTTTGGCTTGGCTTGGAGAAGCAAACCCCAAGCCCAGCCTGGATGTTTGAGTTGCGTACCCAAGAGCGGTGCAAAATTCACGGGCAGTGACACGGGCTGCGACGGAGCGTGGCGGGGTCACCATGGCAGGGTCACCTCACAGAGCGCGGGGGGAACCTGGGCGTCCCCCCCCCCGCCTGCTACCTCCCATTACTCCAACTTCCCAGCCAGGATCAATATACATATCTTCAGCAGGCGATAAGGGGATTATGCAGGGAGGTTTGAAAGCCCCACGTTAAGGTGCACATTTTGTCCCTCTTCCAGGGAAAGACGGGGTTGTTAAGCTTCAGCCTTTGTATATCAAAGCAAAAGGCCTTGTCATCTGATAAGGACTGCTGATTTTAATAATTAGGGCCACTTACCCAGGACTTGGGGGCCTAAGGAATGTGCCAGCAGGCTCGGCAGGTTTTTTTTAATGGGCTTTCCACCTCCCTGCCCCCACGGGGGCTGGAGGGGACCAGCTGGGTTTAAGTGAGCAGCAATGTCCTCCCACCGCCCCGCTCTCCATCCCTCGCCAGCCAGGCACCCACACCCCCACCGCCGCGCATTCCTCCTCCGCCAGCACCGAAAACAGCAGCCTCCACAAAGGCTTAAGTTTAAAAAAAAAAAAAAGGGGGAGAAAAAAGGAAAAAAAAAGGAGAGGGAAGCATGTTTTTTGATAGGCCTCTGGGTTATGGGAGGCGCGGGGCGGGCTGCAGGCAGGTATTCAGCCCAGCCGGGGCTGCATTCCTTTCCGAAGGAGGCCAAGGCATTTCTGATGGGGAGATCAAGATGTTAAAAAATATGTATCTGGGAAGAAGGAGGAGGAAAAAAAGAGATAGTAAGGAATGCCACAGGAAAGAAGTTAAATCTTCAAAGATAAATTAATTCCACATGTGGCTGAAAGCTAAGTTATCCTACTACTACTACAAAAAAAGTTCCTCTAAAAACCATGTAGTGTTCTACTCTGATTCAGGGGGATGTGCAGTCCAAGGGACCCTTCCTAGGTCCTTGGTGGGCTTTGGGGTGACTGTGTAAGGGATGCAACTCTTGTAACTATTTGACTTAAAGCTGGCTCAGGTCTTGAGAGCGCATCCAAGGACCACGAGGCTCAGGGATGCAGGATGCTCCCCAGCACAGGGCCACCACCTTGCTGGGAGACGTCTGTGTCACCCTGGTTGCGTGCAGGAGGGCTGATGTGCCACGTTCTTCCAGCAGACGGGATTGCTGGAGAGGCTGGGGTGGGGGCGGAGGCAGCGGGTCCGTATGAATACGGCACAGGGAGAGGAGGTGTGTCCAAACACAGCGTTTGGAGAGATATAATTAGAGAAAGTGGCCAGAACTAACTCATCTTGCCGTCAGTACTGGACTGCAACACTGATTCACCTACCAACACCTCACGGGCCAAAAAAAAAAAAAAAAAAATCCCCAAAGTTTTATGTATTTTTAAAGCCAGCCCCCACACTCCACCTCCAGCACACTGCCCCACAGAAATCCCCACATCCTCTAAGAAAACCAATAGGATCTGTTTTGCTAGGTTTAATAATTTTTTTTTTTTTCTTTTTAAATTTGACCACCTTACTACAGTAATTGCACCCAGATGCATCAAGTTGCCTGCGAGGGTTTTAAATTCCAGTGGAAAGCGGTGGTCTCCTGCCACAGATGCTGCACACACAAACACACACCCCAGCTCCAAACTCAATACGCAAAGTGTTTTCAGCTGTCAGGTAGCAGTTGCTCTGGAGCTTCAAGGAGAATGTCTGATGTTTCTCAGCCTATTCTTATCTTGATGCGATGACACACAGCATGTAACTCTCGATGTGCTATGTTAGGCAATGGGCATATCAGAGGTGGTATAATGCCATGAAAATTTCAGGGGCTCGTGGTTGCACCCCCTATTACGAGGGCGCCATTTCAGAGTGTGGGGTTTTTTTTTAATTGTCAAACTCCGTTTCTTAGAAATAAAAGCACTCTAGCAGTTCAAACCACAGATTTATACAGAGAGAGAGGAAAAATCTACTAGGAGTATTTTGAGGCAAAACTGAATCTCATTAAGTATTTTCTTGGGACAAACATCACTGGGCAATCACAGGTTTAAAGACAAAAAAGAAAAAAAAAAACACTCATGCACAAACCTGGGGGGAAAAAAAAAAAAGTATATTTTAACTATGTTAATCACAGCTTCCATGCTCTAATTGTAGAACACTGCTTCGAGCATAGCTTTACAATAGCATCATTTACTTTGATAATTGAAGCCAAACTTGGTTCCAATAACTTCACACACAAGGAGCTCCACCGGCGGGTCCTTTCAAAGGCCAGGAAGCACTGGGAGCCGGGAGAAGGCCATCTGCAAGCCCCAGCCTTCCCAAAGCAAGGCCAGTCCCACTGATGTTAGAGCTTAATGGGAGGCAGATGAGTCCACCTTGGACTGAACAAAACCACGTTACACGGCGGCACTGCAAAGGAAGAAGCGCTCTCTGTGTACACAAACTCGCGCGTGATAAATTTAGAAGTGCGTATAAATAATAGCTGGAATTCCTGGAGCATGGGGCCAGGTCCAGCGCAGCGTGGGGAGGCCGGTTTTAACCACACCACAACCTAGAGGGGAGGGGAGTCGCTTTGAAGGACAAGAGGGAGGTTCTACATTTAAAATATTCCCTGCGTTAGGGCTCCAAATACACAACCAGCAGTTTGCATGCACACGCCTGTTTCGCAGCCAGGCGCAAACACTGTGTTTTCACTTGACTTCTCCTGTTCCTGTCCATCACCGATGCTGGGGCCAAACAAAGTCTTTCAACTTGTACGGCTTCTGTGGTCTCCCGTTTGCCGTGCTTTTGGCCGTGACTCCGTACCCTGGGATTTCCAGGTGGTCTCCTGTCCAAATACCGGGCTGGCCCGAGATTGCTCTGCTCCCACCATCAGGTGCGCTCAGCCCAGCGCTCCCGGCTTGCGCTGGCATCATCACATTGAAACCCACCGAAGCGAGTGGCGAGAGCCTGCACAGCGCTTCAAAACCAGTACGCGCTGAGCAGAAATTCTTTAATTCCATCACAGGCACGAGGAGGGAGGTGTGGTTTGGCCACTCACCAGGACAGACTTTGTGCAAGCTTCAGCTCCAATCCTAAACACAATCCTAAATGCCGAGCGATGAGAGATAACCCATCCATATGCTCATCAGCTTCTAGCACATGCACGCACAAGTGGCTTCACAAATGGATAGCTCAGGGAGGAACTGAGAAGCATCTCAGCTTGACCTCCCTCTCTTTGCATTGAGATCTCTTGGCCCCATGGAGAGCAAAAGCTCCTGGAAATTCAACAGAAGGTGATCAAAGCAAAATGCACTACCTAATGTCCTAGGAGGGTAGATCTGACATGTGAGGCACAAGCTGCATTAATCCCTGGACAAAAAAGAAAAGAAAGAAAAAAAAAAAAAAGAAAAGAAAAAAAACCCCAAAACCCAGCACTAATCAGGCAAGCAGCCACCATTCTGCGAGAGCTCTCCTGGACAAGGCACATGTGGGTTTTTAGCAGGGCCTGCAGCTCTGGTAGAACATTACAGCCAAGCCCTTCCAGCACTGAATACCAACAAAGGCTGAGAGATAAAAGCATCAAACATCCCCCTCCTGGAAAGCAAGCGAAGGGCAGCAGTTCAAACCAAGTTCTGGAGAACAGCAGATGCTCAGACAGTAACATTCAGGCACGAGATGAGGATCCCAAAACCCAAGTCCTCCACAGACCAGCTGCCAGCGAGTGCCCCCCCCCAGCGGGAGAGGTCCAGGGGCCACAGCGGGCTGAAGCGCATCCCTGCCGTCCGCACCCACGCCCATCACCCCTCCGCTGGCAGGGAGGGCCCCCAGGAGGGCACCAAAGAGGCCTCTGGCTCCGCAGCACCCTCACGGCCAAGGGGACCCTCCCAGCTCCCGGCGGCTCAGCGCTGGGAAGCCTGGCACAGCTGGAAGCTCTCCACGGGGCAGGAGAGGAGGGCACGCTCCAGCAAAGCCTCCCCGGGAGAAGCCTGATGCCCTTTGATGTCCATGAATCACAGACACGCTCTCAAAATTCCTGTAAACGAGATGTCAAACACTCACCGCACCAAACCCCGACCTCCTGGGCCAGCGGAGGAGAGCGCACATCTGCCAGCAGAGCCCTCTCCTCACAGCCCTGATTCAACAATCCGCATTTATGGCAAGGGTGGGGAGAGGAAAGAATACATTTTCAGAGGATTATACAACTCATCATTTGCTCATCAGAGTCTCTCTTACCCATCCCCCCCTTCACTCCGAGACGGCTCTTACTTTCTTCACCCTCACACCGCTGTGCCATCACCATTTCCAACAAAAGAGAAGGGTTCAGCGACGCAGACGCACCCCGAGACAAGGGCAGAAGACGGCCCTGCCACCACGCGACACTCCCCGCATCCTCCTGAGCTGCCATCAGACACAACCACGTCGTGATGAGTTTAACTTTGAGCACACGGCCAACAGGAGAGCACCAAAGATCTACAGGAGAGCACCAATGATCTACTATTACTCTACACCTGGAACGTCTCTACATTAAGCACTCAATTTTAAGTATCCTCCTGTATGCATTGGCTGAAAGCCACCCTGAATGGCTTTGACACGATACCAACACCCAACGCGATGGGAGAGGCCGTAGATCACACGCGCACGGTCAAAATAAAAGCAGATTTTGTGCAAGTTGCAGAGTTTGATGTAATAAGTGCATACATTTCCTCCTCCATGACCGCACAATTGCTTCCCACATAACCAACATAGTTAAACACTGGTTGATGGTGGAGCTGGGGAACTAGTAGGTTACATTATTCATGCGTCTATATGATCCACTCTACTACTGCTCTTAATACGTTTGAAAGTTGAACCAATAATTAACGTATGTCCGGAGGACATAGTTGCTATGAAGTTTTTGATCTATAAGAGAACCAAAAGAGCCAATCGGGCTTAAGAGCACAGTATCTTGTTTTCCTCTCTACAGAGGCGGGGGGGAACCCCCAAACCCATCCCACAGCCCCCCAAATTCCAGTGTTTGGAGGTGCGGGGAAGCACCCGTGCTCCCAGCCCCACGGGAAGCCCAGCCTCCCCTCGACTCCCTGCTAGCTCCCCAGCAGGCACCCCAACAGCCTTCCGAAAAGCACTCTCACAAGTCCTGAAAGTTAAAACAAAGCACCACTTCCAGGGGTTCCCTTACCTGTATCCGTTCTCGATCGTTTCCGTAGCTCTGACATTCGCCGTAACCCTCAACGTCTTGCTGGATAGTCCAACCACCGAAGGCAAGATTTTGTTTTTAAAGTCTGCACAGCTCCATTCCTCTTCTTCATTCAAGGTCGGGAGATAGCCACAGACAACTTTCAAGCTCCCCAGTCCGTTGCTGTTCATGTAAGCAGGATTCTCCCCTCCACTCCTTACATATTCGAGGTATATATCGGAAGTTAAGAACATCTGGTAGGCATTTTCCTCCATCACAGTCTGAATCTCAGTCTGTGCCTGATCAAACATGATAGAATCTATCTGCTGCTTCTTGATGCTATCCCTTATGTAGGTCTTGGTAGCAGGCTTGAGCTGCTTGGAGACAATGCTGTTGTTCTCGATGTACCTTTTGTATATAGCTTTGGCTACTCTTAAAGTTTTGGTATCCTTAAGGTCCATCTGCCTGAAGCCATTGCAGGCAAACCAGAAGTCTAAGGTATCCACACATTTTTCCCTTTCCAGGAAGGTCCGAAAAAGATAGGCACCATCTTGATCTCCCAACAAGGAATGCAAGGATTTGGTCCATCTGGCCAGAGGGGAGTCCGGAGATGCGCTGCCTTCCGGCTCCCCGAGTCCGTTCTCATTCCTCCGCGGGGCAGGAGGCACCGGCATGGCCTTGAAGCTTTGGCTTTTGGGGAGAAACGAGCTGGCGAGTTGCGGGCATGGTGCTTCTCCTTCCTCCCCCGGGACAGGGGGTCGGGGGGCGTCTTCCC